CAGCAGCTGGTCTGGTCCGCTTGTGGCCACATCCCTGACATCCCTGATGCCTGGAGCCTCGTGGTGCCCTGTAGTTGTTGCTCACTAAGTGTTTGTTGAGTGGACGGATAACTGAGTAAGCAGCACCGTGCTCAGCCCACAGTGTTGGGCAGCGGTGGTGGCCGCGCTCGGGAGGAAAGCCATTGCCAAACCCATCTTCGGAGTCGGCACCCCTCTCCTCAGGGCCCAGTGCCCCTTTGAGGCCAAAGTTCCTGTCAGGCTCACTCCCTTCTTGAAGGCTCCGCCGTTGTTGGAGGATGGGGGCCTGACCCTTGCTGGGGCTGGGGGCCAAGGAGTCACACGTGCAGAGAAGCCGAGTGGAGGAGAATCAGCAGCAGGATTCCCAGGACTCCTGGAGGGAAGCGGAGGAAACCCCCGCTCACCGAAACCAATCGGGACCGCAAAGAGCTCTCAGGGCCCACAGCTGCAGAGAAGGTGCCCAAAGCCTGGACCTGCATAGGCTCGGGTGTATGGATGGTGGAGGGAAACTGTTTTCTCTGACCAGAACCCACGTCCGAAATCTCAGCCAGCAAAGGCTCAGAAAATGAAAGAACAGGGAGTCTCACTCGCTTTATTAATCTGCGCATTTGCGACAGCTTACATCTGTCCTCTTCCTTGTCCCTTATACCGGGAACTCACAGACACGGGGACGCTGCAGTGTGGGCCTGATTGTAAGGAATGTGTTATTCTGATGGAAAAGACTTCCAAAGACTCCGCCTCCCAATAGCCTGTCCACTGGGCGTGTTCTACAAGGAAAGTCTGGTATCAAAAAGTAAATCTAAACAGAAACCAAAACATGAATGGGACCCTTTTATGTGTACCAAACCCAGCGATCGCTCAACTCGTTGGCCCCAGGGCATTGTTCTTTGTTGTTACTGTTCTTTGTTTCCCTTTCATCTTTCGATCCTTCCTTCCAAGATTCTGGCATCGGACTTCGGAGCCCAGATTGTCTTATGGAAAGCATATGTCTTCGGAACATACTGTCCCACTTGATGTTCTGGAGCCAGTTGTGTTTCTTTCCAGAATCAAGTGAGAAACAGTTATTTGCAGGGCTGGAAGGAACCTCAGGCTAGCTTCCCAGCCAGGAAACATCACACTCGAAGCGAAGAAAGCGTTTCTTAAAGATCTCTAAGAGAAGAAGGATACCTCCAGTGAGCTGGCTGGTCTTCCTCATTCGTCCATGCATTTATTTTATTCGTGCGACATTTGTGGGAAGTTTACCATGAGCATAGTCTGTGCTCCAAGCCCGAAATCCCCAAATCCGAAGAGAAATACGATCCATCCTTCCCCTCCAGGAGCTTGCGGTCTAGGAGAGGTGAGAAGCCGCAGTCCAACTTGACAAGGCCAGGAGGGGTGTGGTCGGATTCAGGTCATGGGGCAGGAGTCGAGAGATGGGGAGAGACAACTTCTCAGAGGAGAGGATGCTTTTCAAAGAGAGTAAAAGGGAAGGAGGTACAGAAGAGGAGGGGGGGTCTTTAAATACCGAATAACTCTAGGGGGCACGGACAGAGACCAAAGCATACCGGTGTGCTCCCAGCCAATGCCTGGGGGCCCCAGATCTTTTCTGCTGGCATGGAGAGTTTCCAGGACTTAGAGACAAGTAGAGAAAGCAAAGTACGATGTCAAGTATCAGAAGTCAAGGCGGTAGTTACCCTTGGTGAGGTTGTGACAGGAGAGTGGGGCACAAGAGGGACTCTAGGGTACAAGCTTTCCATGTCTTGATGGCTTTGTTTATTTTGTGGAAGCAAATCAAACCGAACACTGTGATAAATGCAATTTTCGGTGCAAATGTTCAATCAAGCATACTGTGTTTACCAAAATGTCCAAAAAACCCCAAATACCATGCAGTCGGGTGTGGCTCAAATTCTCGTGAAGGGTTCCAGCAAACTGCGTGCATGGAAGATAGAAATAGAGACACAAAGGAGAGCCACACTGAAAGGACCCTCCATGCTAAATGAGGGAGCTCGAACTTCAGCCTCAAAGACTCGTGGAGAGAGCAAGCACGCGATGGAGCCGAGGGGCCTCTGAAGCACGGCCCTTGCAGCACAATTGAGTTACTGGGTGTAAACTTAAAACCCCCCACCTGAAAAATGCAGCCATGATTGTATTTGCCCCCAAAAGCTATTTTGAGGATTGACTAAGATAATGCAGATGTTTAGTAGACTGCTCCCTAGGCTCAGCAATAAATGTTTGCATTTTAGAAAGCTTCCTCGGGCAGGAAGGAGAACGGATGGGGGGACGGCCAGAGCAGCACAAGATGATCCAGAAGGCTGTGGCAGTAATCTAGGGAAGAGAGAATGAGAGCCTGACCAGAATAGGGACAATGAAAGTCCAGGAGAGATCCACAAATTTGAGGGGATACAATGAAGAGGCTTGATCTGGGAAATGAAAGAGAGCAAAGTCCCTGGTGACTGTCAGGTGTCTGGCTCAGGGGCATGTGCCGATGGTGATGCTGTTAGGAAGTCAACATGAGGGGCACCTGGGTGGCTCAGTGGGTTAAGCCTCTGCCTTCGGCTCAGGTCATGATCTCAGGGTCCTGGGATCGAGTCCCGCATTGGGCTCTCTGCTCAGCAGGGAGCCTGCTTCCCCCTGCCCCTGCCTGCCTCTCTGCCTACTTGTGATCTCTGTCAAATAAATAAATAAAATCTTAAAAAAAGAAAAAGAAAGAAAGAAAGCCAACATGAGGAAGAGACTTGGCTAGGTCAGACATCAGGTTTGGAGCCTGTTGAGTTTGGGGATCCTGGGAGACACCCAGGTGGGCATGTCCACAGGAACTCAGTGGCAGTGTTCAAGTGGAGGACATAGATTTGGGAAGGATGTAAAAGCCTATTGAAGGTGAATGAGTAGGTGAGCTCTTTCGGGGATGACCTATTGAGTGAGAAGAGCCACGGGCCAAAGACAGAGCCCAAAGTAACATGGACGTTTAAAGGGGCAGACCAAGGAAAGGAACCTGTGGAGAAATTTGAGAAGAAAGGATCAGAAAAGGTAGAAGGAACCACCAACAGGGAGTGCTGTTAGAGTAGTCAAGCAGGGCGTCATCAACTGTGACAGTTGTCACAGAAATGACCCGTTCAGTGAAGACAAAGTAGTGTCCCTTGACTCCTACATATGATGGCCATGGGGACTTCAGGGGAATAGCAGGACACGAGCAGGATGGTCCTCAGTATGTAGTACATGACTTGGAAGAAAGCGGCCAACAAATGCAGTCCGGGGGAAGGAGAGCGACAGGGCAAGAAGCCGGGGGGAGGGGAGAGGAGTCAGTCTTTCCTGCAGATCAGAGTTTCCAGTATCCACCACCACCTGTTTTGGAAAAGGTTAGATCTCTCTCTCTCCCTCTCTCTCTTTCTCTCTCTCCCTCCCTCCCTGTCTCTTTCCTTCTCTCCCTTCTCTCCCTTCCTTCCTTTTTTCCATTTTGAGTTTCTTCTCCAGAAGCCAAAGAGTAACTTACGTAACTGGAAACACTGAATGTATTCCCTTTTTAAGCGTTTTTAAAATAAGATGTTGAGAAGTGGGTATATTCAGGCAAGGAAGCCAGAAGAACCCAGTTGGGAAAGGAGTTGGAGCAGGGGCAGGAGCAAGGGCTTCCTGTGGGTCTGCTGCCCACCCTGCTCCTGCTCGGGCACTACCTGCGTGGGAAGGCGGTTTGGGAGTTAGTGTGAATGAGGGTGTACATTCCCTGCCTTTGTGGACCCTTCCTTTGCGGAGTCAAAGCCTGGCCTGAGGGGCACCTGGGTGGCTCAGAGGGTTAAAGCCTCTGTCTTCAGCTCAGGTCATGATCTCAGGGTCCTGGGATCGAGCCCCACATCGGGCTCTCTGCTCAGCAGGGAGCCTGCTTCCCCCTCTCTCTCTCTGCCTGCCTCTCTGCCTACTCGTGATCTCTGTCAAATAAATAAATAAAATCATAAGAAAAAAAAAAAAAAAAGCCTGGGCTGAGGTGGCCATGAGGGGAGCTGGCAGCATGCTTCCTGCCATGACAAGCCATGGGCTCTGTCCTGGCCCCGCCCCCCACTCCTCCACCCACCGCCTGTTCCTCCCAGTGGGTAACGATTTGCCTCTAGTACTTGGGTCACACTTCTCGTGCCCACTCCTCCCAGAGCCTGCTCTGACTTCCAGGTGGGGCTCTGTCTTCAGAATGGGCACTATGTGTGGGTCATTTTGCATTTCCCGAGGGGTTCTGGGGGTCATTCTCTTTCTGGTATGTAAGACTTTGCCTTATTGGGGAAATCATGAGGCATCAGATAATTCCGCACGACATCCAGTGGGCCATCCTCAAAGGGTAGGCGCTCAGCTAAGGTTGGCTTGCAGAAGGTAAGAGCGTGAGGTCTGCGCTAGATGAGAAACTCCCGGGGCGGGTGGTTGGCTCACGCATCTTTTTACCTCTCCAGCACCAGCTCCCCAGGGCTCTGACCATCCATCCATTCCACAGATGTTTACTGAGCACCTGCTAGCTGCCAGAAATGGCACTAAGTAAGCTGAGAATTCAGCAGTGAGCCAGATCCCCAGTTCTAGAAGAGGAGACGGCCGATAAGGAAACAAACCAAAGGAACAAATCCGATAACCACAGACTGTGGCAAGCTTTGAAGGAAATCAACAGAGCTCTGTAATGAGTAAGGGGCATGTTTATGCTCAGACCTGAAGGCTACAAAGGAAGGAGTTAATAAGTTGCCCTTCAGTCTTCTCTTCCTATTTAATAACTGTAATACCTTAACCTTTCCTTCAATAAAATATTCAAAAGGGTACAATAAGGAGATGTGGTATGGGTTTTCCTGGTCAGTGGGTTTAAAACCCACGAACACATCCTATCCTTAATGAATCACCATCTTTCTAAGGGTTGTGTATGTCACCTGCACTGGGGACGACAGCCCTGGGGTCCCCACGGAGGGACAAGGGAGAAGGCGCCCCGCTGTGCGGCACTCTGCCCCAACACCAGCCACTCGAGCCCATGAGGGTCTGTTTTGCAGGTGAGCCGTCCTCATCCCAGCGACCACCCTCTCCTGATCCTCTTCGTCATTGGCGGGGTCACAGTCTCAGAAGCCAAGATGATCAAAGACCTCGTGCCGTCCCTGAAGCCAGGAACCCAGGTACGGAGGCCTCTGCGAACGGTGAAGGAGGGTCCTGAGGCACAAGCGGGAGGGTGGCCAAGGGCCCTTCGTTCAGCTTCCCAGCACCTCTCCCCAGGCTCCATCCCGCCTTCCTTCTCCCACCCACTCCTGCCCTGTCAGATTCCCCCTCCAGCTGCCCCTGAGCCAGCTGTCCTCCTGCTGGGGACACAGGGAGGAGAGCTGTCCCGTACAGTCCACGCCTGCCTCTGGGCTTCAAGGGCTAAGCTGCTCTTGTCCCCAGTCCCGATTCCTGAAGGGCATTTATTCTCTTGCTTTTAGTTACTCAAGAGTTGTTACTCAAGGTGCGACGTCAATGCAATGACAGATGTAGTCTCTCTCTCCTCTCTCACCTCCTGCCCGTGCCCGCTCATTCTCCCTGGAAGTGGCCTACCTCTTGATGATGTAGGTCTGTCTTTGAATCCTGCCTCTGTCACTCACTGGCCCGCTGATCTGGGAGAGCAAAGCCTTCCATGTTCTCATAGAGGGAACAGGGCAAGGGTGGCTGTGAGTCTTAGATAGATAAGGGGAGGGAAGGTACTTAGCACCGTGCCTGTCCCATAGCTCCCCATAAATGGTGTCTGCCCTTCACATCAGCCATTTCTGGGCGGTCAGCTCCCTGCTCTGCACGAGGGTTTTAGCTACTGGCCTGGGGCAACAGGATCCCAAGGGGAGGGACTCCAAGAGAAGGAGAGCCTCTGCCTCTGGAAGTTCTAATCTGGCTGGGAGCACAGAGCCTGTAACTCAGTAAGACTTGAAGTCCTTGCCTGCCTGGGCTCCCCCCAAACAGGCCATGTGACAAGGACATGAGAGCAGGTGGTTTAAAGTGGGAGATGATCCCAAGAAGCAGAAGTGAGGGAATCTGAGAAGACAGACCATAGAGAAAGAAAAGCCAGAACAGAGTGCCTTATTGTAGGCAGCCAAGGCTCTGTCCTCTGGGGGCCCGAGGAGTCTGGAAGACATGCCTCCGAATTGTCCTGCTGTGAGACAGGGAGTCCAACTCTCGCCTCCCACCCCCCGTTTGAGACTTACTTCTGGAAGCTTATCATCGGCTTTTGCGAGCAGCTGGGAGGCTTTCCGTAGTATGGAGAAAGCAAAAGGATGCAGGTGCCATGTGTTGGGGGGAAATGCGGGCTCACGCAGGGGCCCGTCCCCCAGAGCTACATGGCAAGCAGAGGGGAGTCTGGCCCAGATGTGGCACTGGGGGCAGTGGTGCTCTGGCTCCCACCTGTACCCATGACTTTGCACGTCTGATTGGCCACCCCAGCGGGCCTCTGTCTCCATTTCAGCCACATCACTGCCAGAATCCAAACTCTGCCCTTGGCCGTGCCACCCTGGACTGCACGCCCACCTGCTTCCTGTTTGCTGCCCAATCTCTTCGAGCAGACGTGGATTCCATAAGGGCAAAAGCTGGGGCTCCCCAAGCCTGAGCACATGGTAGGAGCTCCGGAAGCCTGGTCTGCGGGCCTGATTGGCTACAGAGCAGGCCAGACCGCCCGTGAGGCAGAGAAGGCCCGGGTCCTATGATCTCCAGACACCTAGCTGAGGAGTGGACCTGAGCGTCTCGGCAGCTGCAGCAAGTCCTTGAACAGGGGAATGACCAGTCATCGGCTGTGACCGTTTCTGCTCTTACTTCCACCTGCCTTGACCACAGCTGGTGAAATTTCTGACCAAGTGGTCAATTCTGCCTCATCTAACACCCTTTCAGCCATTTCAAGGACCCATTTAGCAAGCAGTTGCCTTTTTGAGCGAGACTTTTTTTTTTTTTTTAATCAGAAAGCACACTTCCCCCAGCCCCTAACGAGGGGAACCAAATTCTCAGCACTCCAGAACAGTGCTGCGTTGTGCCACCCCGACAGACACGCTATCCCCGCTCTAGAAGGATAAAAGGCAGCCGTTTTCAAAACCGAGTTTGACAACCCAGACCCGGGGTCTGCAGGGGCTTTGCTACAAGCCGGCCCTGGGCTCGGTCATCTGCAGAGGGAGCTGCTCAGAGAATTCAGGGCTGAAGGAGCCGCCGTGATTGCCGTGTGTCCATGGTGCAAGAAGTTCCCCCGAGGAGCTAACGGCCCCAGCAGGACCCAGAGGCAGCAAGGAAGACAGGGGAGGCGTTACTGACCATAGCGCCCCTCATCTCCAAGCTCCTGAAAGGAGGGAATGACCCGAATGTTCGCTGGAGTGATGCCTGCAGAAGCGGGGCTCCCTTCCTCAGACCTCAGCCCACTCACGCTGCCTTGGTCTGCAGCTCCCTGGGCCCAAACCTGGGACGGAGCAGCTGCCCGCCTTTACGACGTGCAGTGGAAATGGCGGCCTTGCTGCTCTAGCTGTCCGCAAAAATGGCTTCCTGGTGCCATTGCCGGCTCTGACTTCGACGTCTCTGGAGAACACAGGGGACCTGACTGAAAGGCAGCGGCTCTACTGAGTCTGTGTACCTCAACCAAGAAACTGACTCAGATGTGACCGTCGATGTGAGCAGCGGGCGTGTGTGAGCAAACACTCGTGTTCTGTCTTGACTAGCCCGTCTACACGGGAACACCCCCAGTGATGGGGGCTTGACCCCTCCCCCTGCACCCTACCTGGGTCTTGGAGGGCCTTACTGTTAGGACTCTGCCCCCTAGATAAGTCCAAATCTGCCTCCTTAGGGCCTCGCTCATTAGTGCTGGTTCCAGCTCCTGGGCCCCAAGGAATTTACAGGCAAATCGGGCCTGTCCCTCAGCCACATGTTCTCCCCTGGGTCTGCTCCTCTCCAAACCCAGGCTTTTAAGTCCCATGACGTATATCTGAGAGTGACGGGGGTGGTGGCTGTCCTCAGCCCCGCTCTGTCTGTCCCTCTCATGCTCAGCTGGAATGGAGAGCCACGGCTCAGTGTGGACTGGTCAGTGCAGAGGCAGTTGGAGCCCGCTCCTCCCCATCACCCCCACAGCCAACAAGGCCCAGCACACCGTCCGAGGGATTCTTCCGGCTCGTTTTTCACAGCTCTAGGAGTGTCGACATCAATGGAGTCTACAGCCTTTTGTCTCTAATTTCCTCAGTCCTGCCAACAAGCCTTATACATCCTGAGGGGCTCCCGCTCGCCCTTATGCTTGCCCTCGCCTCAGCCAAGGAGGAATCTGCCATTTTGACTCAGGGAGGAGCACAGGGGCCCGCGGTAGTGGCGGGGGGCCAGCAGGTCACAAGGGCAGGAGAGGAGCCTCTACTGCCTCCCAAGAGTCAAATGCCTGCTTTTGGATCTTTTCTCCTTGCTCCCCTCCAAGCTCAGGACTTCAGGCTTTTTTATTATTTTATTCCCAGCAGTTCTGGAGGCCTGGGTGGTACGGTTGGTTAAGCGGTTGATTCTTGGTTTCTGCTCAGGTCCTGACCTCAGGGTTGTGAGATCAGCCCTGCGTCAGCTCTGTAAAGAGCTCGGAGTCAGCTTAAGACTCTCTCCCTCTCCCTCTGCCCCTTCCTCACCTCTCTAAAAATAAATTAAAAAAAAAAAAAAGACCCACCCAACCCCTCAAATAGAGTCAGGATTGCTGGGTGTCATGAATGTTCATTGAATGCTGAATACTGATCATCAGAAACTTTGCTTATTTATTGTAGCATAAGATAAAAGTAACTCTTCTGGAGAATTCACCAACCTATTGATTCATACCTGACATTATGGGCAACTAAAACGAGCCTGACTTCTGTATCAATTCCTATGAATCCACACCTTCTCTATATCTACATGGGTGCTTTGGGGACCCAAGTACAGGAGCTACCATCACATCTACTACGTGGGATTTGCTGATTATTCAATGAATATTTGTTGAATATCTACTCTGTGCCAAGCACCGTTCTTATGCTAAGAATAGAGTAGTGAGCAAGCCAGACTCGTGCCTGCTTTCGTGGAACTTACATTCTAATAGTGAATGACTGATGCTAAACATGAGAACTCCAGCCAGAGAAAAGGGTGCCAGGAACACTGACGGTGCCATGGTGGGAATTAGTAGAGGGAGACATTCCCTCAGATGGCACAGGTTTCTCATGGAAAAGAATTGAAAAGCATTCAGGGACCTGCTCTTCAAAGGAAACTCATAGAACCCACTTAAGGCCCATCCAGAAATGAATTCTCTTCCACAGAAGGTGACAAGGGTAGCATGAAACATGGACTCCAGAAACCACATCCACACCTGCTAGTGTCATAGAACTGCTGTCATACTCTAAAAGGGCGTGTTTCCTCCACAATCTGCCCTTGGTTGTGGTCAAGGTGCCCATGAGAAAAAGTGGGCAGCTGGAGATGGGCCTCTGTCCCAACTACAAAAAAAGGGATCGAAGAGACAGCTCCCCCCACCATACCCAAGCAGCCCCAACCATGAGGCAGGAAGCTTCTGGAGTGCATGTGCCTGGCACCCGCCCCCATCTCCCTTGCTGCCTGTTGTGGGACCCCATGCCCAGAAGGCTCTGCAGGCTGAACTCTGGCTGGATGGGGGCCAAGAGGTTCGCAGAAGCCCGAGATTGTGGGAAGAGCATAAATCCTCCCAGAGGACACAGGGAAAGGCTAGCTCAGGAAACAGAGGAAAGCACCGTGGACAAGTTGGCCTGCCGTCCACTGCTCTTCCTGGCGGGCACATGTTCTCACCCAGTTTCTAGCCGCTCTCTGTTTCTGGAGCTGTATATGTAGTGAGAATGTAATAGAGAAAACAAAGTAGGGGCGCCTGGGTGGCTCAGTGGGTTAAAGCCTCTGCCTTCGGCTCAGGTCATGATCTCAGGGTCCTGAGATCGAGCCCCCAACGGGCTCTCTGCTCAAGAGGGAGCCTGCTTCCTCCTTTCTCTCTGCCTGCCTCTCTGCCTACTTGTGATCTCTGTCTGTAAATAAATAAATAAAATCTTAAAAAAAAAAAAAAAAGTAGACCAAGAATATGCTCATACACACAGTTTTGCTTGGGGCTTGGGATATTTAAATCCTGGCTCTAAAACCTGGCTCCGGGTTATTCTAAAATTGATTGAAAGGCCCAGGG